AACATCCCATGGATCAAAAAGTTAGACTTATGATTCCACATAAAATGTAATTCCTTATAAAATGTTTAATAATTGATAATTTTATGTTAAGGTTATGATACATAATTGAAACCTTTTGTACCTCCAGTGTGAGGAGACCAAACATCTTTGTGGGAAGAGTGAAAGGATCTTCAATGTACCAGAAGTGGTATTTTGAAGTAACAGTGGACCATGTTGAACAGACAACCCATATGATGCCACGCCTTAGGATTGGCTGGGCAAACACTGCTGGGTAAGAGTGAATATTACTGTACGTGTTCTGTGCATTCTTAATACACATTGAAAATATAGATATCGTGTATTAGTCCATGAATTGACGTTCATCTGTGTGATGTTTGTGCCTTAATGTACGTTTCCTTCTGCGTATTTATATGTGTGTGGGAGATGGTCAGAACATTCATATACTGTTTCCCATGTGAGCTTCCTAGTTATCATGGTCACACATTCAAAATAGTGAGTGACTGTGTCACTGCTGGAAGAATTCCTGTGACCTGATGTGCCACCTCCTGTGCTTGATAGAACTTACATGTCTTCAAGAGGGTTTCATTCTTGAAAACAGTAACTTGCAGGGACTAGATCTGGAGAATAATGATGTTATGGAAAAAGAAAAAAGAAAATGTTCAGAAACTCCATATGAAGGCAGACTGATGAATTGGTCCGATGTTATTGTGAGGCAGTAGTTCCCAGATTCCAACGTGGGGGTGTTCGTGGTGGATGGTTGCTACAGACAGTAGAGAATATGTCCGCATATGGTATTGATGAAAAACCATCGTAGATACGTAGACGCGCGCAGCATCGCCTTCATCTCTAGCAAGCTGCTCCCTGGGTGATAAGAGTTTCTTGCAGTTTCGGACTTGACATTTGGGTTGCGGACCACATTACATTACATTTATTGTTCATTATCATAACTCTGTTCAGAACACTTGGAGCAGTACCAGGTCTGTTAGAAGTCACATTTCCTGTAATGAGGCTCATTATTTTTGCTGATAATATATTATAAGTTCAAATGATACGTAGAAATATAAATATAAAGTTATTACTTACTTATTTTCACTACACTTGCTTTGTATTTGAACTTATTATGTGACAGCGGTTATGCGTTTTGTACATGTTAATAAATAATTGAAACTAAATTCCATTGTATCTACAACAATTTGAAGGTCTCAGATGCATTTTGGTTCTTTAAATATTTAATTACGACTGTGGATTTTTTTTATATACAGGTATATACCCTACCCAGGTGGCGGTGAGAAATGGGGTGGCAATGGTACTGGTGATGACTTGTATTCCTATGGATTTGATGGAGGAAGCCTTTGGATGGGTAAGAACACATAAATCATATTCCAGATTTCATACATCATGTTACATGAGGTCCACATACGTAAAGTAATGTGCATGTAGGTGAGATGGATTAATGGCTTGGTTTTGATAAAAATTAATATGAAAAGGCCAAAATGTAAGTTCTCGAAAGGATTTCTCGCATGTAGTTAAAGGGAAATTGAAAACAGCATTGAAACATTTTCTTTGTTCAGAGAATCCTGAGAGGAGGTAGACTCATTCAGGGACTTCAGTTTATCATGAGACCAAGAGCTTTGAAGTATGAGGTTGACAGGCTATCTGTTTCTTCCCAGAAAAATTACCACAAATTGAGAACGATGTACTACCGTTTTTTGAAATATGGATTCGTCTGTGCATATGATAAGAATGTAGTGTGATGAAATACAATGTTGAACAAACTGTATTCATATAGAGTACCTTTTTTAAAGCATGAGCCAGAATGTTAAAGAAGGTTTCATAGAAATTTCTTTGGAGGTACAGTGCCTTCCACACCTATAATTTGCATGATAATGGCAAAGTTTCATGTAATAGGATCAGTGTTGGACAAAACAAAAACCTCAAAAAGACATGTAACAACCAAAGAAACTCTTGATAATATTGTGCTGAATTATGAGCAAGCCCAGAAATGTCTTATCTCTTGGCTTTTAAATGTGAAATGTCAAGAAGTACGCTCCGTGTGGCAACAGATCTGTTAAACTTTGGACCCCACAGAACAACAACTACACACATTCTGCTTCCAGACTACGAAGCAAAAATTTGATACTGCAGGTTGTTTCAGGAATCGTCTTCATGACCTAGAACTTGCATTTTATTTTAATGAAGCAGTTATTCTGACTGTTACGTTACATTAATACTGACACCATTTTTTGATCAATTGACTGAAAACAAAATAAAATGTATAGGTATGTTATGTAGGACAGCACTATGGCCTACATAGCTGCATAGAAGCAGCTCTTCAGGACTCTAATCTGAAATATACGCGGAAGATTGATGGTAAATAATCAGCTTCTCGTGCTCCAATATATGGAGAACTTGCCATAACATTATGAACTTGAACTCATGATAGACTAGGATGCTGTATTAACCATCTCACATAAAAGAATGTGCATATTTTGTTAGTCATGAAACTCCTAATATGATAGTAAATTCTGACAGCAGAAACATGTTATTTTGAAATTTAGAAACACTCAAAATGAATGTTGTGTGTGTGTGCGCATGCGTGCGTGCATGTGCCCCCCCCCCAAAGATTTCAATTTCCTTTCTGTAATCAAATTTCAAATTCTTGCAACTGAACTATATCCTTCTATAAACCTGAAATGTACAGTACTGGTTGACAGTTAATTTTTACATCATATTTCAAACCTATGTTAACAGCTGTCTGGCATATGGCCAGAATGTGCAATTAACGTTCTCTGGGACTGCATACGCACCTTTACTCTCTTACAGACAAAGACCATTTATTATTGTCACTATAAAATATTCATAATTGTATACCAACAATTCTAACAAATATTTGTTCTGTACAGGTGGCCGAAATACTGTTGTGATACCAGAAGCAACAGAACCTTACATCAGGAAAGGTGATGATGTGATTGGCTGTGCACTGGATTTGACAGTTCCAGTCATAACATTCACATTCAATGGACGCGTTGTGAAAGGGTCATTCGGGAATTTTAACTTGGATGATGGCATGTTCTTTCCAGTAATTAGCTGCTCTATCCAAACTTAGGTATATTTAATCTCAAAGTGTTGGACATTACTCTGTCACTGGTGTATTTCAAACATTCACAGTCTCCTTGGTACTTACTTAACTCCACTCTTTTCTTGCCTTCAGCACTAGATGGAGGGGAGCGGTCAGCTTCGCGCTCTGGTGACTTTACCCCTAGGGAAAGGGCTGCAGGTACCAGAGTCTTGTCTGGAAATGGAGACTAAGAGAAAATATCTTTTTCCCCTGCTGGAAATTGAACCCTGTTCAGTCTCCTTGGTACTTACTTAACTCCACTCTTTTCTTGCCTTCAGCACTAGATGGAGGGGAGCGGTCAGCTTCGCGCTCTGGTGACTTTACCCCTAGGGAAAGGGCTGCAGGTACCAGAGTCTTGTCTGGAAATGGAGACTAAGAGAAAATATCTTTTTCCCCTGCTGGAAATTGAACCCTGTTCATTCAGCTCGTAGTCAGTCACTACACTGACTAAGCTACCCCAGTTCTTTTAGAAGTGCAATGTTTTTGTAGTGCAGTCCAGGAGAAGGTTGAGAGCCTAGTTGACGTGTGTCTTCGTTTACGGAAAAAGTGCAGAGTAATGCGTAGATAATCTGCACGTGGATATTTGGGATTTTACTGTATTCTCATTTCTGTAATAGGAAATCTTTCTGCTCTTTATACAGAGAAAAGTATTTGCCCATATCTTCACATTAGTCTTAATGATCTTTCATTTGTGACTTGTCTATTTAATACCATGTCTGTGCTGTACAGTATTCAGTATTTATAAATATGTTTATAGAAATTATTTACATATTAATCATTGTAGTTTTTATGTTACTGTGAATTTTCCATGCAATTTACCTTTCCATATTTTTAATGTCTAATTTAACTTCAATGGAATTTTAATCTGTGTTTCTGTTACATACTAAATTTTAAATTTGTGTTTTACAGAAAGAGATACGCACATTTATTACTATTAATGTGATAGACTCTATCAGAACTGTAAATTCATCTTTTAAATTGGGTTTATTCTTGAAATAAAAGTAATCCATTATGTGAAGAACAAAGATTAACACAAGCCCCAAGTCCCATACGCCAGAAAATAGGAAAATGTACATACTGTATTGTAAGTATTGTTGTGTTTTTAGGGCATACCACACAATAAATATAGGAATTATATCATTTTCCTTCCATTTGTAAGATGGATTCATACCTTTTATGTAACAATAATGCAGAACAGCGTATCTTTATTACCCATTGTTAAAGATATTTGTCTTCAAGAACAGATCTTGGTAGTTGCACCATTTTTTCTCAATTTTTAGCTGCCGATTTCTTCTCGGTGGTGACCACGGCCGCTCGAAGTACTTTCCTCCTGAGGAATTCTCGCCACTGGTTGAAAGTTTACTGCCCCAGCAAGTGTTGTCAATTGATCCATGCTTTTACTTTGGAAACCTTAATAAGGTTGTTCTTTCTGGACCTTGGCCTGTGGAAGATGATACTGCCTTTGTACCAACACCCGTTGACACTACAGCTGTAAGTGAACTGCTAGTTAATTACTAGATATTCAAATATTTCTGTGGTACATTTTCTGATTTCAGGTGTATTTTATTTTGAACTATTAGTACTTTAACATATATGATTTACAATATACACATTTTGGTACATGAGCTATCAACAGTGCTTAATTATTTGTGTATTAGAAGAGGTTGTTGTTAGTACATTTCTCAATCTGTTACTTCACATGTCTTGTATGTAATAATTATTAATAATGTAAGATTGCAGTTAAAAGTAGTAAAATATTCTATTGGCCATTGTCATCATAATTATATTTCTAAGACGCAGACAAACATCCATGCCTTGAGTGGGACTTGAACTCATGGTTGCAGCGGCCAGGCGCACGAGGTCCATGCCTCAGACCGCGTGGCCACTGCGCCGGCATGTGTTTTACCTTCTGATAAGAAGAAAAGGATATATTTTGTCTGATTTTTCAAATGCTGTGAAGGAAGCTTTATTTTCTTTGTACAGAGAAATATTACAGGAACATTTAAAAACGTTACAATAGGCTGCATTTTAGAAGAATATTTAAATACCCATAAGAGTAGATTCTTCTGCGGGACATAGCATCATCCGTTATGTCCTGCTTTTCTGTCATATAAGACGACACACACTGTGCTGGGAATTTTTATTCTGTAGATAAATTTAGTATTCTAAAACATTACATTATATAGCTAAGGTGTGGACGCAGGCTAGAACAGATTGTAAGTGAACTCTGTGTTGCAGTATACACAAGAAACTACTTCCCCTATTCATCCGTCAAATAAAATAAAGCTCTTTGTACTGTGCAGAAAGCTTGAAGTGTTTATACAGCTACATGTGATGGTAATTTGCATGACGATTTGTTATAGCGATTAAATTTTATTAGATACAATTTTATGCATCTTTTTCTGGTTGTCTTTTTGTAAAACAATTTCCTTTCTGTTTTAGGTAACACTTCCAACTTACGTGGAGAGTATAAGAGACCGTCTAGCAGAAAACATTCATGAAATGTGGGCTACGAACAACATTGAAGCTGGCTGGCAATATGGCGAAAGACGAGATGGCGTGAGAAAGATCCATCCGTGTCTCATTCAGTTTGAGAGGTTGCCACCAGCTGAGAAACGTTATGACTCCCAACTTGCTGTACAGACACTGAAGTAAGTTATCAAAAACTTATATTGATTTTACATTATACAGTACAATTTAGCTAGTTTAAAATTTAGGAGTTAAATTTTCCATTCAGGCCTGTAATTTAAAACTAAGCAAGTTTGTAAAATAAGTCAATCCTGTTTATTATGATTTGCTCTCATAATGAATACATTCAGCAACCTAATAAGGGATACTGGAATATGTGCGTAACAAAACATTCATGAGATTATTGAGTTTTGTGGTCATATACCAGGAGAACATGCTGCTGCCTCCATCTTTAGGGTTAAAATATAAGGAAGTCATTGTGTTATATTGAGGTAAGTGCAGGATTAGGCCAGAGAGAAAAGTACTTTTTGGGCAGTCAGAGTTGTTTGATCGATGGAGAGGTGGAGGAGGTTCCAGAACATTATGAGTGCGGAACAAGAAATATTTCTTTTCTGAACCAGAAGAGGGAATGGCCAGGTCAAAATGTTGCATGTTTCTTATCCATAGATAGAACCTTGAAGATGCCTGTCTTCTGGGTTGTAGCATTGTGTAGTCTGGTAGAAGATTACCGACGTTTCAGAAGTCCTTGCCACCTCCATCATCAGGGTGATCACCCCGACATGTGGCAGATCAGGGTGATTGCCCCGATGATGGAC